CTTCATTCAGTTGATGTTTTTCTTGGGATTCTGAAGACTGAGTTCATCTCAAACAACTTCTAGACCATGCGACAGGATTTCACACTGGAACTAAAGCAAATGCTACCAAGTGGCCCCACAGTCACTTCCAGGGTTCCTTGTTCCTTCTGGTATGTCTCTTCATCTGAAGCTTAAAAAGCCGGTAGTTATTCTTATTCTTTCCAAATATAGATGGTTTCTGCCAGGCTTTCTTTACCTAAAAGCTAAAAAAAAAAAAAAAAAAAAAAAAAAACTTTGTAGATTTCTCCTGCAAAACATCAAATGAGGACGCATTGAAACATTAGTTTGTGTTTTCCCTGCTCATAACTGTGAAGATTTCTTGTATCCTGCACTCTGATCGCACCTCTTTTTAAATCATTTCTATTGGTTATTTCTCGGTGTCTCATGAAAATGCATCTGAAAGTGTCACGTCAGATGCCAGTTGCTATTTTAAGAGCCAAGTTGGCAAATTTCTTTAGACTGTGTTCAAATGTGCTACATTGTAAAGAGATTTAAGTGATATTATTCTAATTTGCCATCAATTTCTGTATGTAAGCCATTTGTGACTGTAAATTAAGAAACAGACTTGAGAAATAACCATAAATTCCACTTTCTCTTAAATACTCTCAGTCTTTGAGAAAATCGATGACTCATGGTAAGAAGCTTTTACTTCAGCTTACCTTTTCAGCACCTCAGTAATCAACTAGAATGAACAAATTGGCACTGAAGGTGCCCCTACACTGTGATCTTACAGGGGACCTGGATGTTATCTTGGGAGAACAAATAAATGAAAACTTCTGTGCTTGCCCTTTGACTCTTTCAGCATTTTGAAATTCATGTGAATGAGTAAATCATGTTCAAGACAGAGCAGCCAGGTGAAAAAAATTCCTCCTTGGAGCAAGAAAGCTTCTTATCTACTAGGGTGAATGTTTAGAATCCTCAGTGAAAGTCACAAGCAGTAATAGCTGTCTCATTGAGTAGGTGTAAGATACAACATTTAACGAGAGAATGTTAAGGTTTGGTCTGTGATGTTCCCCAAGCTGCTCATGTGTGTAGAGCCAGGGGTTTAAGAGAAGATTCCATCACAGGGCTGCTGCTCTTGTGGGGGGATTCACTCACTGTGGGGTCCATGTGCTGGGGCAGGTGGGGACCTAGTCAGGAAGAGTCACTGGGGGTGACCGGGGACCATGTGTCTCTAGAGAGCTGCTCTTTTTCTTTGATTCTTGTGGTGAAGATCTCTCCTTCATCCAGTCCCTTTTACTCTGCCATTTCTGTCTTGGACCTGGCTGACCATGAGCTGAGACCTCTGAATCAGTGAACCAAAATAATCCTGTCTACCTTAAAGTCGTGGGTGTTGGGTGTTTTGTCCCAGAAATGAGAACATGATTAAGACAGAAAACAGACTTTACAGTTTAAGGTTGACTAACATACCAGGTCAATTACTAATATCCTAGTTTCACAAATGACCCAAAATGCAAAACCTTGAAAAGCCTACCAGTGATGATGGTGCAGAAATAGCACTTTTGAGAGTACCTCAAAGTCATTGATGAGAAGAGAGAACTTTTACTGAGGCTGTGTTGGGAGAGCCCATTACCAAGTGAACTGGTAATTCATTTATTTAAAATGAGTTCCAGTTAAAAATAAAGTGTGGCAAATGTGTGGTTCATGGTACTTTATTCTTTGAATTTCCTGAAAGGTTCGTGTCAACCCATGGACGAATATCAGTTGCTTTGTCTTAGAAAGGGTTACAGATTTCCTTTTGCCTCACTAACTGGCTTTCAAAGAATTCAGAAGTATTGTAACAACTTCTCAAAAACATACACATTTCTTTAAATATTTGTCTAACTCGATGTCTAATAAGCTTCATCACCTCACTTCCCAAATGGGTTTAAAAAATTTACTATCCCAAAATAGGTTTTTTTATTAGAATACATTTTTCTTTTCCCTTTCCTTGTAGTATGTGTAGCATAAAAGGTGTCACTGTGAACTCATCGGTCACTAAGAATTTGGTGCAGCATTGTTATTCTAAAGTCACATTTTAACTTTGTGTTGATAAAAATTTGAAATTGAGCTTCCCCACCTAAGCTATGCAATTTCATCTGGACCTACCGGCCTTGACCCATGGAAATTCATAACGAGTTACCTGTGATATTATTTCTTCAGTTAGCTGCAGTGGAAACCTAGGGCAGTAATCCATACGTGGAGAGGCACAATGTTCCGTTTTCTTACAAGCGAAAGTGCAGTGCAAGCACTGAGTAAAAGTGTTTTGGGGGACCAATGCAGGGGAGCTACGCACTCAGGGCACCCCCTCCAGGCCTACAGTGCTTCAGGAAGCCCTTGGGAGGACTGTGCTCTTCCACCCTGTGCTGGCACCCTCTGCACTGACCTTTTTGACCTGCAGTCTGGAGCACCTGCCAGGAGTGTTACCTCCTGGGGAGGTTGGCAGCTGTCATCAGTGGTCTCTGGGCCCAGCACTCAGTGAGCACCTGACATCAGATCGTGCCTCCCCCAGGAGCTGCGCCTGCACCTGTGACTTTAAGTGTTTCACCTGTGCTGTCTTCCAGCAGTCTCGACTTTCTGGCTTTCTATCCCGGCCTTTGATCCATTTTGGTTTGATTTCGTCATGGTGAGACAGATCTAGTTGCATCTTCTGCATGTGGACTCCTGGCTTCCTGTGGACTCCCAGCAGCATTTGTTAGTGAGGTTTTTCTTTTCTTCAATGTATATTTTTGGGCCTTTCTAAAAAAAAATCAGATGGCCATAGGAACATGAGTTTATTTCTGTGCCTTTTTCTGTCCATTGGTTTCCATGTCTGCTTTTGTGCCAGGGCCATATCATTTTGTCACTCGTGGTTTTGTAGTTCAATTTGAACTTGGGTGTTTCTGTATGCACAGTTTTGCTCTTTTTGGCTCGTGATTGCTTTGGCTGTTCTCAGTCTTTCCTGATTCCATAAAAAATTTGGAATTGTTTTCTCCAGCTCTGTGGAGAATGTTGCTGGTATTTTAATAAGAATTGCATTGAATCTTTAGATGTAGAAGCACAGGACATAATACTAGAAATTAATAAATGGGATTACATCAAATTAAGGGGAAAAAAGGACAAGAAAAAGACAACCCACAGAATGAGAGGAAAAGAGTCTTTGCCAGCTATCCTCCTGATAAAGGGTTAACACCTAGAATACATAAAGAACTCAAAATATAACACACAAACATAGACACATAACATGATTTTACAAAAGAGCAAGTGAGCTGGGTACAAATGTCTCTAAGGTCAGTAGGCTATGGAAAAACATTCACCATCTCTAACTTCAGGGAAATGCAATGGAGACTACACCGGAGATTCCATCTCATCCCAGCCAGAATGGCTATTAACAGCACAAGCAAAAATAATGGATAGTGGTGCGGATATGAGGGGGGGCCCCGAAGGTCCCCACATTGTGGGTGGGGATACAAAAATCACTGTGGAGGTCCCTCCAAAACTAAAAGAGAAGTACTATATGACCCACACCTGTATATTACAGCAGTACATATTATAGCAACATGGGGATATAAGCATACCCACGTTTATAGTGGCACAATTCGTGATAGCTAAGCTTTGTAAGTGACCCACACACCTGTCAACAAAAGAATGGATAAAGAAAATGTGACATAGCACACAATAGAATGAAATCATTTGGGACAAAATAGGTGGCCTGGAGGCTATCACATAAATGCAGATAAGCCAGATTCAGAAAGTTTCAGATTAGGCATCACTTTCCTCTTATGAGAAACCTAGACTATAAATAAGTAAGTGAATACAATAAGGAGAGATAGTAGGAAACTACAGGTTAGTGGGGAAGGGGAAGGAAAAGTGGGAGAGAAGCGAGAATGTGGCAAAAGGATTGAAAATGTCCTAGATATGTCACATGCCAGCACAGATCCCCCAAATGAAGCCCAGCATTCTGTATTACTACCATGCACTGACAAAAACAATCACTAGCAATTACCTAAAATTATTTCCTCCTTTGTGAATGAAGAGTAATTTGTTCATTCATTTATATCACTCATGTCTGGTGGTTTATGATCACTTCTGTTGTTCCAGGAATTGGGGCGGCAAATCAAATCCAAGTTCTCATACAGAGGATGTCACCATTGATGCTAACGGCGGTTTCAGAATACAGACCTAGCTCTGCCTCCTGCTCCGTGAAGCATCACTCAAACCCAACCGGGCCTGTTAACCAGAGGCGACCGGTTAAGGCTAGTACATGGAACCACAAGCACCTATTAGGTTCCCTGTAAGAAGAAAATGAAAAGTAAGTGCAGACAATTCTTGATTATTCATGGGCAGGGCAGAGATTGTGATTATCAATGCCCTTTGATTCTCCTTCTCCTTCCATCTACCGACTACTGAATATTTCTCTGCTCATTAACACCTGGGGAGGAGGGAAGGTGAAATGCTAATCAGCCAGTTTGGCTAATTGTTAACCTCATTATGATCCTTTTTAATATTTTTATGTTGAAATAGGAAGAAGTTGAAATTTTTTACTAAAACGTTAGCTACAGTTTTCAAAACCTTACATCATCTTCCTTTTCTATTACTGCATAAACTCAAATAGATACTTCACTGGTTCTCAGGTGTGAGATTTGAAGTTCACATTACATATTTCTTATCGACCCATGTTCATTGCTCATCTCCTGTACACATCTAGTGTAGAGGAAAACTTGGCTTTAATGGTGGCAATTTAACATGTAGCCTTATATAAACAACTGCACTTGCTAAGTGGATTTGGACCAATAGGAAATCAACTTTGAGAAAATTACTTAAGAATTCCCACCCCTTTATCTCTGGTAGACATTCAGGACCCTCCCCAAACCAAATAAGGGCAGGAGGAATGTTCTGAACATTAAGGACACTAAGAATAAATCTGAGCTATCACGGGTAAGATTACTTTCAACTCTTTATCTCATGTTTTCTGACACAGACCCCAATTATCTTAGAGAAACTGCTGGGTCTGAGACACTGCTTGTAGTTCCCTTGGCTTTTTTCCCTCTCCTTGGTCTTTGGAGCCTGTGTGTGTGTGTGTGTGTGTGTGTGTGTGTGTGTGTGTGTGTTTGTCTAGAGTGCCAAAAAAAAGTGCTGAAGAGTCCTAGGGAGATGAAGCTATTTTTGTTCGAAGCTGATCCTTCTCACCAAGCCACAAGTGCAGCTTGGGAAAGCGCTTAGGTTGTTTCCAGGGGAGAACTCTGCGGGGGGAAGGCAAAGTTCAACAGGACAGCACAGAAGCAGCAGAAACAGCCAGAAAAGAAAGCACCCTTAGTGTCAACACAGCACCCTCCACCGAGTTTTCCAAGTGCCACTGGACAGGAACCTTTCACCCGACTCTTGCTTGCTGCGACCACCATGACTGAGATCACTGCTGAAGGTATTGCTACTACCATTTTCCAGTCCAGTTCCATGGCTGGGCGGTGGGGTGAACTGACAGCCCACAACCTGACAATGCACCCATTTAAAGTGTGGTCTTGAGGTCCTTGTCTTAGTCAGTCTGGGAAATGGATTTGGGAGCCCAGAGGCTGCCAGTTCTGAGTGTTCAGGGGTGGGGATAGTGAGAAGGAATTTCTTTGAGATTTTGCATTTTGAAATTGTCCTTTGCTGTACCAAAGGCCCCACTGGTTAACAGCTGTCACCCACACTTCTATAAATAGCCACAGTCCTGTACAGGAAGGCTGATCCCTTATCTAGCAAAAATGACAAGGTTTCAAGGATGAAGACCAGGGTAAACTTAGAATGTGCCATTTAATATTCCAACTTCAGGAGATGGTTGGGAAGTGTTTCCTTTATGATATTTACAGAGATCTTAAATTCATTTTTTTTCTTTTAAACCAAAGTATATAAACACACATGCATACATAAAATTTATATGTAACTTAAGACATAAGCATTGTGATAAAATTTCTATTTTACTCTTGATGGATACTTTGAGATAGACATGGAAATTCCACCCACTATAGATCTATCAATTTGAACAGTAAATAATGCAATTAAATGTTCAAATCTGATTCTTTTCATAAACTCTCTATTGCTCTCCAAGTGCTGAATTATGACTTTTATATTAGAATAAGTACCTTTTTCTATTGCTTATCCTGAACACCTACATGATATACCTAATTTTTATTATTTGACTATGATAGCAAATCCTACATAAACACATGCACTTTTTATTTTTTGTCTAACAATAAATTATTTAAAACTACTGCATTCTGAATACAGACACAGATTGGTTTTAGTTGGAGTAAAAATTTTGGAGGTGGATCTAAAATCTGCTTCTGACAGCTGTAAGAAAACAAGACAGGTGGTACTTTGACAACTTCCAAGTCAAATGCTATGCTGGTTTGTTTTTAATTAGACAACTGAAAAATAGAATTTGTGGTTTTTAGTTTTTTGGGAAATTAATACACGCACCATGATTTCTGTTAGAGATGTTCAGTCAATATTTGTAAGAAAAATTTCCTCACTTGTCTTTCCTGCAGAGAAATTAGTCTGACACCCCAAATTTACTGCAACAATTACTCAGAAATTTCTACATATTAGGTATTTGGATCAGAAGTTTGTGTGTGTGTGTGTGTGTGTGTGTGGGCGCTTCTTAAATATCACACAATTCAATTACGTAGCATTATCTCAGCTTTGCAGAAAAAGGAGCTGTATGTAACTCAGCTTCTCTGATTTGAAGCCGCAGTGCTAATTTGTTTTCTTCTTTGCTGTAGGACGAGATCAGGCTCAGCGTTTGACAATTTTGGTTTAGAATTTGCTAACTAAATATAAGTAGTATTTTCTTCTCTCCTTTATATATTCCGTGTCAAATGAACTTCCATTTGTTTTAAACATAACTGTCTATACAAGCTTCTTGCTTAGCCCTGCGTAAGTTATGAAGATACCTAGAGTGCTGGCCCTGCCTTGGTTCAGGGCGCGGGCTGCCAGCTGATGTGTTGTGGTTTTGCCTCTGGCTTAGGCTCTGTGGTCCTTTGCACTGATTCATAGCAGACTTTAGGGGAAAATTCTTGATTATCAAGTTGAACTTCATTTTTGGCTTTTCCCTGTTGGGAGTATTTTAGAGGCATAAGAAAGACTTTCTGGGAGTGACCCACAAAAAAACTGAATTATTGACAGATTGAAAAGTGAAGTCATCACCTACTTTCTAAGTAATTGTCATGCCCCATTCCTTGGCCTACACTGTTGATAGGGTCTGTGTCACTTGAACCTTGGTAGTGTACTGAATGCTTTTTGGAATGATTGCTTTTTTCAAATGAATATTAGATTGGCCACTCTGAGAACTTACCTTTCAGAGCTGGGACCACACTCATCCTCCATGACTATCCAAAGGTTTCGTATGATGCTCTACTGCACACTTTTTATCTTGTGTTTGAGATTCCCAGTTGTGCCCCAGCTAGGAGAGCTGTGTTCCAGTCTTTTATAATGGTTATAATTTTGTACCTTGCCTTGGTATGAGCTAATCCCTCATCCTGGAATAGTGTTCTTTTTCATCTGCTGCGGTTCTTTTGCAGTGAGTTTTAGACACATGACTGAAGCGTAAACATTGTATCACTCTATCAGCCGCCCCGTGTGGTCCACTGACCTCTCTTCCCATCCATTCATCTTGAAAACTCAGCAGTTTGTAGGAGTAAAGAAAGAGCAAGATCTGAACCTTCTGGAGCAAGAGTGCTCCTCCACATTTATGGGAAGCCCAGGCTCAGGTGAATTCTATGGCAGCTCCAAAGTCTTTGTAATTAGAGGAGATCTTGGGATGCGCTGTGTGTTTTTGTGGTTTACGCTCAGTGCTTGCTCAGCTATAGGGTATTGTGTATCTGTATAACATGCCAAGCTCCTCATTTAGATTTCCCCTGCATGTAAAAATCTGGATCATTTCAGCTGACATAAGAAAGGAGATAGTGCTGCATTCATTGCTGCATTTCAGGGAGAGGTCAGTAAATTAATTAGAACCAAGAAAAAGCTGAACTTTAAAGAATTTTTTGGAAAAAGCAACTTTGATTTGGGGCATGATATATTACTACAATGATTATAGTTTACATGTATTGCAAAGATGTAATGTACCAAGCACTGAATCAAGCTTGTGACATGCTCTTTTAATTCTCACAACAAAATTATTTCACTAAACCTTATTGTTACTATTGGGAGAACAGGAAGCTGAGGTCTGGCAAGGTTGAGGCCTATGCCTGAATTCTCACAGCTGCACAGCACGGAGTCACAACCAGGCCTGACCACAGCATCAGACGGAATATGTTCTCTCACTGTGTGAGGTCTACAACGAACTTGGTATTATCTCAGTAGCTGTTGAGAGCATGCACCAGGCCCATGCTACATTGGGTATGTTACATAAGAGCCCATACTGGGTTAGACTCACACTGTGCTCAGTTGAGTTCAGGGCTATAAATATCTCTCCACCTCCTTCCAGAAGTCCAGTTATTCCAAGGCGGGTGCCCACATTAGCCCCGCCTTCTAAGGTTCATGCATTGCAACCACGCTGACAGAGGTGCCACCTTGTGCTATCTGCTCTGCAGCATACGTTACTGTGTAAAAATAGCTTTTGAGTAATTTGGATAAAGAAATAAAGTTTATTCCTAATACAATTGTGAGATGATCGAGAGATTTTTTTAAGTTAATAAACTATATAGTTTTCAAATTGCCTGTTAACCAATATATAGTCATATTATGTTTGGAATAGTATGGATGTTTTCTGGATTACAAGAGCTTTCAAAATATAGGAAAATCTGACTTTTTATATAATAGATTCAAATTTGTTGCGAATATGTCAAAGTTGGGCTTTTTAACTAGTAACTTCAATGTTCAGAAGGGTTAGTGCAGTGTCCACTTCCCCTTGCAGTTAGGGGAGCGTTTGGTATTCAAAGTTTTGAGCAAAAGCAATTACATTTCACACATTGTGTTATCCTTGCTATCCTGAAGACCCTATAGCCCATGAACACCCACCACTACTGTCAAGAATTCATACCCAAGAATTCATACCCAACTTGCTTATCAAGAAGAAGCATGAGTTATACCACCTAGAGAGAAACATGATGAAATAAGAGAAGGAACAGTTTCATCCTACCCAGCTGGATTCGGATTTGGGGTGGGTTGGGGGGTGCAGGACTGAATGCCTTCTGGGCTTAATGACTTCCAAGGTATAATCTCTGTTCTCTTAATCAAACAACAACAACAATACACCACATGAAAACAGTTTTTAGTTCCAGGAACACATTTTAAAATTGACAGTGAAGGGCTGAGTCATTCCATACAGAAGGATCATGCTAGTGAGAGGTATAATTAAATGAAAATCTTTGTGCATGAGTTGCTTAAGATTAGAATTTTTTTGCTGCATAACATGTGAAGGCAAAACAAGACTTTTTATCAATGGACAAAACCATAAAAGCCACAAAAAGATATACTGTTTTAAAATCATAACCAAGCAATAAAATGATGGCAAGTATATATTCATGACTAAAAAGAGAGAAAGAAGAAAGAAAAAGAGAAATGAAAAAAAAGAGAAATAAAGAAAAATAATCGTGAAGAAAGGAAAATAAATTAGCCTCCAATTTGCAAAAATGCATAGAAAAAAAGCATGAAAACCCAGTCTAGGGAACTGCTGTAGTATATGCAATTTAGTCCTTACAACAAATATGAACAAAAAGAGAGGTCAAGGAAAATTACAGATGAAAAGAAGCATAAAAAAGGATAACCTGTCACAAAGTGTGACATTACTGTGTCAAGAGTTAAACAACCCTGAAACGATTCTGATAAAATCATTGGAAATTTGACACATTACATATTTCATGACATTAATAATTGTCACTCTATTTTTAGTGAGATGATCATACTGTGGCTGTCTTTTAAAACTACTTATTATTTAAAGACACCTACCAAGACACAGAGGGATGAGACAAGATGCTTGTATCCTATATAATACACAGAGCGGGGAGTAAATGAGATGTGAGAGGTGTCAGCTTGGGCCCGAGGATGGGAACGTGAAATTCCATTAGAATATTCTGTCTAGTTTCGTGACTACTCCAATGTTTCCGTAACACAGATTTTTTTTAAAGGAGGAGTTGATGGTTTAGTTAGCATTTACCTTTCATAAAATATCTAGGTCAATCAATCCATTGGTCACTAATGTATTTTTGAGTGAAAATTATTCTTTAAATTGAACAATCTGTTGTTAATGATGAAAACTGAGTATGTATGTGTTAGGGGAGTCCTAAAATACAATTGCTGTTTGCAACAACCCACTAAGAAATAATCGTATTTAAAATATATCTATTATAAACTGAGAACCAGAAGTTTGTTTTATCTCATTGTTCAAATATATGGTGACATTAATTACCAACAGTTTTAAGGTAATGCATGAAAAATCCC